CTATCTCTCTCTCTCCTCCCTCCTCTCTCTCTCTCTCCCTTCATTTCTTCCTTAGTGCTTCCTTTTTTTAAAAATTTTCTCCTTTCTATTTATTTATTCTTATTATTAGAAAACTTTTGTTACGGTGAAATAAAATTCAAAATTTAGTTCAAACAGGTAATCAAATTAAGTAAATAATGGAAGGGATAAGTTATTTCATGTGATTTTTTTTTTCTGCAATAGTTTTTTATAATTGCTAAAATTCGATTTGCTATTTTATGTTCAAAAAGATAAATGTAATTTGATTTTTAGGAAAATTTCAACTGCTATTAGTAGCACTTTTTTTTTTAAAAAATATTATTGATCTATGATAACCTTTTTCCTTTTTTTTTCTTTTGAATACCTGTTCAATTTCTATTCTTTAATTCATTAGTCTAGTTTTTAATCTGAAAATGAAAATTTTCATTTTGATTGAAATCTCTGCAAGCAACAATTTCTCCTTCAATAACAATACAATTAATGGTAATTATCTTTACTTAATTTAGACTAAAAAAAAGAAAAGATTATAATATCTATAGTGAAATAATCTAATAAATTATCATAAAATAATTATTTTCTTTAGCATAATTTAGAAACTGTTTTTACTATACTGTTTTTATCAAATTATTAATATTGTGCTACTAATTAAATCAACAAATTTATAATTTATGTCATCATAATTTTATTTTTAATATTACAGACTTATTCATCATTATATTATTATTATTGTTATTATTTTGGTGTTATAAAGATATCTATTACAGTAATTTTTTAGTATTACCATTAGCCATTTGTTATCATGACTTTTTTTTCTAGCATTATAAGGTTATTCATTGCTATAATTTTATTATTAAAAATTTATTATTACTCCTTCTTTAGTATCACAAAGTCGCAGTGTCATTTATTACTAATTAATTATTTTTTTTAAAAACTTGCTTATGTTATTTTTGGGTAAAGCGATTTAGGTAAGTAATATTCGATAGTTTTCCAAGTTTCTCTATCTTTTTGATAATATCAGTATGTGATAATGTTGTCAACGATAAATAGCACCATCATTTTTTATTTCTAAAAATTTTTAAATTTTCATTCTTCCTCTCTTCTATCAAAACAATTTAAAATAACTTTTATAAAAAGTTATTTTAGAATGTACTGGTAACACACGAAAAAAAAGAAAGGTGAATTTACTAATGAGTCATTTTATTTTGCTGCATAGTGATGCATTCGCAATTTTGTTGTTAATTTAAGATGAAAATTTTCTTTTTTCGAAAAAAAAAATTAAATGTGGAAATTTTCATCCATTTTTTGTTCCTACAGTTGTTAGTAATTAGGAAAGACATTTGAAAATAATACTTTTCACTTTTTTTTTAACATCTTTTTTTGATAACAACTTTTGTTTTCCGCCTAATTTAAATTGCTAATCAATACCTTCAATTTTTTCAAATAGTTGATTCCATTGAATTACAAACTTTTATTTCTGTTTTTTATTTTTACTAAATTACAGTGAGTGAAAAAAATGACTGTTAAGGTTTGGGGTTTTTTTTTAAATAAATCTTATTTTTCCTACTTTTTTTCCATTTTAATTAACTACCAAGAGAAGAATGATTGTATGTAAATTGAGATGGATGAGTTTTTATCAGTTAAATTTGGGAAATTCCACAGTTGCAGGTAGATTCAATAAAGTGGTCACTATATTTCTTCATTCTTCTCCTCTTTAGCTATTATTAAACTATTTATACTTGATTTCAATCCCGAATTTTAGTTTCCGATTTCTAATGAAACGATATTTGAAGTTGTACTTGAGCATATTTCATCTTTTGATGATTTCGAAGGCATAACTTGATAAGAATTTATCGCATTACATACTGGTTATCCCGGAGAGCTATTTCATCATCAAATCCCATACCTATTACTTCTGGGAGAAATTTACCGCCCACATGATGTACATACATATTGATCCTCCTGTAAAGCTATTTTATCATCGAATTATTCATTTTATCAATTCAGCTGATCTTTTTGCATTTCATGCATTCTTATGCACTCCAGAAAAAAAAGAATGGAGAAAGTATGGAAGGAAGAAAAGATTTCCACTGATGATATATATTTATATGTGTGTTATTGGATGATTGATGGTACATACCGATAAAATAAACCAACCAAACCAAATTAAACCACACGAAACCAAACCGAACCAAACCAAACTAAAAACAAACCAAATCAAACTAAACCAAGCTAAACCACACCAAACCACACCAAACCACACCAAACCAAGCTAAACCAAAATAAATCAAATTTAAAACCAACCAAACCAAAATTAAACCGCGCCAAACCAATCAACTAAATAATCAAACCAAAAGAAATCAACCATTTTTCATTGTTAATTACTATTTATTACTTTCCTAAAAATTCATTCTCCCAAATCTTCTTTTGTTATTGAAAAATGAATATAAAATTACGATAAAATTGGCCAAATTTTCGAAAAAAAGTTCTAATTTCGAAATCAAATTTGATTTTTGTACTCTTTTTAGTAATGAAAAATGGGTAAAAAGAAAGGAAGGACAAATTGATGACCTTCATTTTATTTTATTTTATTTTTTTTTTTACCCCTCAAATTGCATCTTTCATTTTTCATCACTTACCGTCTGCTTCATTTCATTTCACTTCATTTCATTTCATTTCATTTCATTCCAGTCCATTTCATTCCATTCCATTCCATTCCATTTCATTTCATTCCATTCCATTCCATTTCATTCATTTTCATTTCATTCCATTCCATTCCATTTCATTCATTTTCATATGACTAATTTAAGAATTCTACTTTTTTTTTAAAATTTGATGCCAAAGAAATATTCACAATTTTTGTTTTTCTCTTCAACAAGTATTCATTCCACATTTCCATCGTCGACACAGTTGTTGATAGTATCCCTATATAATTTCCGACTTTATGATGCAAAACGAAAAAAGTTAAATTAAAGTATTAAAATTTAAAATTTATATAATCAATTTGTTATAATTTCTTTCGCATCTATAAATCAGTCAACTTTTCGCTTTCTATCATTAGTGATCATTGACCATTGATCAATCATTCATTTTCTCAAATTTACCAGCCGAAATTCTTAAAATTCTCAAATTTATCAACAATTACAAATATAGCTTAATTTCATTCTAAAAGACATTGTAATCATTTTATTCTTTTATTTGTAGTATGAATGATCTTTCATTTATTCATCTTTCCATTAGCTACTTAAATTGTTATTTAAAAAAAAAAGTTGGAATTAATCATTGATTGATATAAATTTTGTCTTTATATAAGTTATTTTTGTAACAATTATTTTTACAGTGTTCATTTTCGTTTTTTTGTTTTTAATTTCAGAATATTTTCTTAAATGATTCAAATCAAGCACTGTCTCCGTTTCAATTCATAAGATAAAACTTTATTTCTTAATAAGAGCTAAATTTTATTCCTTGCTTTTTCCTGCTTTTTCAGAGATAATAATCAGTTAGCTTACGAGTGCTTATTTCAGATATTAGAAATAGATTAGTCAGAATTGCAGGTAATGAATGCAAAATACGGCAGATCCGATATTTTGCTTTGAGATTATAACTACCTAATATGTGAATATTTCTTAGCAGCTCTTGTTTGTACGATTTCTAATATCATTCATAGTTATCTTAATTCCGGATTAATGATTGGATCCGAACCAATTGGATAACAATGATTCAGTTGCTATTTATAGTTTACAAGGTGCGCTTACTTAATAAGGCAGAATATATTCATCAAAAACTGTTTTACTTGTAAAATCTTTGACAGAAATAATTATTTCAATAAAAAAGGATGGATCGAAAAATTTTTCTTCATCTTTATACTTACTGACTGAATAATAGCTTTGTCCTTTTTTTTTCGTTTAAAAAATTAACCGATCAATAAATCTCATATTTGATTATTGTTTTCTTAGTAAATATATATTCAAATGAATTCATTTTTATTACACACTGTGATCGTTTTTATTTTTGGTTCTATGTTTTTTTGCCATAAAATGTCGTATCAGTAAATTTATTAATTTCAGATTTTTTTCAGGCCAGTTATCACATCGTTTGAAGGATTCTATTGAATCGATTGTATTTCTATTTTCTGTCCCATCCTCTAGCAAATTATTGGTGTTGTAAGCATAAATATGCGAAAACACTATTAAATTCAAATGTAAATACAATCAGAATATTTACGCCTTCTGGATTTAATTTTGCATTTTTGAAATCTGTTTCCTTTTTTGGGATTTATGAATCGTTGAAAACGAGGAAAGGAAAAAAAATTTTTCAAATAATCATAATTATCAAAGAAATTAACAACAACAAAACGATGCTTCCACCACATCGACCTGCATTAGCAAGTACTAGTAGTCCTGCACAAATTCCAACTAGTATTACTACGAATAATTCTGGAAATGTTATCGGAATATCGATGAGAACACCGGAACCATCACCACGGATACGTAAAGATGCTACCACAGTATGTAGTGAATTCAAATTTTATTCAGTTATTTTTAGTATGATTATTCTAACAATTAAAAGAAGCAATTTAAACATCATAAGTTAAATTATCAATGAATGTTTCAAGTTGAATTCAGCATCCCTAATGAAGTACTTGAATACTCAAATTACTTGAAAAAAATGAATGGTTAGATAAATGCTTTTTTTTTCCTGATAATCCCTTCAAAATACTTGAACTAATCGAAAATTGAAATTATGCAATATTGAAATATTGATTAATAAAAATGACATCAACATCATTGCTTTTCAGGATGTACGTGTTGGTGTTGGTAGGCATCGTGACAAATTGGAACAAATCCGGGATTCGTTACGTCCGTTTGAACAAACCGGTAACATGGAAGCACCAACTGCAGCAACAGCAGCATCATCATCGTCGTCATCGTCACCCAATAACAATAACAATAATAATTTTACGGTTGAAGATGAAACTCGACGACAAATTTTAGTCAATACATTGACACAAATTGGCTTTGAAGAGGTTATAATTTCTTGTTTTTTGCATAATTCCCAATATAAGTTTAATTTATTGAGTGAAATCGAGCTTTTGAACCGAAATTAATTGATTTTCATTATTGTCGAAATCCATTATTGAAAAGGACTCAATTAATTAAAATCAGAAAGTCCGAATTCATCAAATATTTTGAATCATAAACGTGAATGTTCATAGCATATATTGATTTTTCAAATTTTCCAATCATATTAAACATTTATTAAAATTTTTGCCATAAGAAATAATCGTAGAAATATCCTTTTTTATTTTTATTTTTTTCAGCAAGCAGCCCTTTTAGCGCTTGAACTAGTCCGTTATTCAAGTGTCGCAGCAGCAGCTGAAGTTTTGCTAAATCTCAATAAGGAACATGTCTTTCGACAGGTTAGTTTTTCTTTTTGTCGCAATAGTGCTCAAATTTGTGAATTAAATACTAAATGGATTTGTACAATTACAAATTGGATTTGAATGAAACTTTTTTCGACTTTGGCATGCAAAATTCTTATTTTATAAGTATTTTCTTATTTGTTTGGATTTGTTAATTTCTATGACTTCAAAACTGAACTTTGATTTTTCGTGTTTTTCCCCATTTCTAGGATTTGCGCGATTCTGGAGGGACGTTTCATGCATCGTTATCACCAGCTGTAACTACTACGGCTTCACCTCCATATAACTGTAATAATAATGGTGTAATCTCAAACAATACCAAATTAATGGTACCATCCGGTATAACCGGTCAAGTGACGGGGGCAGCACCGATTTCTGGAATTGTGATAAATGCTCAAATGCCGACAACATCAATTTTAGCAAATATCGACGATAGCTCATCAAGTCGATCAAATAGTCCTTTGGCAAGGATACCAAGTCCGCCAGCATCAGCTACTTCTTTTCAGTATGCATCTTTTTCCATTAGGAATGTTAGACTTATCACTAACAGATTTTTTAAGTTTGCATTACAGTTGTCTTCCGCTCATCATATCAGTGATTGATCAACTTCTTGAATTGAACTACTAAAGCATATTCTCAAATACATGTTAATAATTTAACAATAAACCATTTACTTGGGTGTGAATTTCATTTGCAAAATTTCACCCATCAAAATTTATATTAATTTCAGAGTACGTTCGACAAGTCCTTCATTGCAAATTATCACTAATCCTTATCATCAAGCAGCCGATTACCATCGGATGCATGTTCATTTGCCAATGTTAGCTATAACTTTATTTTATTATCCTTTTAAATAATTTTCAAGTTTTTACAGATTTTATTTTACATTAGCAGACATTGTTTCATTTAGTGAAGTTAGATTTTATCCAGTCCAATGAAATGCGTGTTATTTAATAAGCTTAAATATAATAGGAACATAAATGGTCATTAGTAGCAATTATAATGAATGTGACTATTATGCTCATTGTTGTTTATTTTTTGGAGGAAAAAAATATAATTTTCGGCTTGGGATAAATAAGCATTTATAAAACTTAATGGAGCAAATTTCAATTTTCTCGGATTGAAATATTTTTCATTTTGGAAATATAACCATTCACTGTATTTATTTGTTTCTTCAGTCCATTTTTTAATTCCTTAATTCACTTCTATACATTTGATAATTTCTCCTCAGTTTTTATATCTGTTTTCAGTCTCGAATGATTAATTTATTCTCAGTTTCAAATTATGTTTATTTTCGGCATATTTTGCAGTGATTCATCGAAGTATTGTTATAATAATGCGACCAAAACAGCGGTAAATAATTATGATTATGGATTAACGGCATCATCGTCACAGGCTACAACAGCCGTAGCATCATTCACGTCAGGTACACCGTTATCCGGAATTACTCGTAGTCGGAAAGTAGATCGACCATCAACGCAACAAGCATCAGCAATTATCAATATCGACGGATTGCAAGGGTGCAATGATCGCGTTGTTAAGTAAATAAAATTTCCAATCATAACTAGCTATTCTCTTCGTTATTCATTACCAATAAATTTTATTTCAATAAAATGCATTTCTAACTAATGTTATTATGTAACAAGATATGAATTAACTGCTTTATTCTGCCCAATATTTTTTTTAAGGCCAACACGATCGTTGAATTCTCGATCTCACATAAATAATGCTACTGGTTTGCGAAGATCTGATGCAGTACCAGTGATAAGGACACGATTAGAAAGGCCGATTAATACAAGACATCCACTGAATACTTCTAGTTCGTTACACAAAGTGGTAAGTTAATAAATTTACTTTTGAATGAAAAAATAATAAATGGGGAAAAAGGAAAGAAAAATATATGAAGTCATTGGGAGAAATTATGCTAAGCTGGAAAAAGGCATTGTTTGTTTGTAAATTTGTGGTAGTTCATGTTTAGCATTAGAATAAATGTAAATTATGCATGGGTCATCATGTGTTTCAAAAATTATAATCGACAACTGAATTGTTTGGACAGATTAATGATTTTAAAGATGCTTTTTTTGCTGCAGTGAATAGACTTGGACATTTCTAATAATTTACATTGGACTAATATAATAATTTGCGCTGTTTGTTTATTTTCCTATTTGTTCTTTTTTTTCTCGAAATCCGATCCGACTCGACATAACAAATATGCAATGAATGGGGTCGATGAAGAAACAATTGAAATAGCAACAGCACATGCCAATTTGCCGACAACAAACGGAGTGCAACGAATATTAGTTGATCCGGATAGACCATCTACGACTTACACCAATTATGCTGAACAGGTAATGCTTCGTAGTATTTCGTAATGAATTTTAATAAAAAATTTTATGATAGGAAACGTTTGCATTATAGATCCTATATTAATATGCGTTAGCTTTGTTACTGCAATTTCTTGCACTCTTAAAAGTAACGTAGTGTTAAGAGATCGCAGCATTGATTGAATGGCGCAGCACCTTGATCAAATAGCCTGAAATCTCTTGCCTAAAATTTTCTCACTTTTTTCTTTTTTTTGGTTACAGTTATGTCGGAGAACAAATCTTCTCGGAGTCAATGAACATGACTCAGCTGTACCAAGTACATATGCTGACCTGAACAATGGTTATCATCGAACTTCAGGTGCTACAGTACCACGTTCTGTTTCACCCAATATTTGCGCAAAGACGTACGTTTTATTTTTATGATGACAAAATTAATAGCTTAACATTTAATTCCTCTCAACTATAACATGGCAATATTGGTTTTTTTCTTAAGGTTTCTCATCAGAAATAATAATTTCTGTTTGAGAAGAATGAGTACAATTTTAAGTGCTATTTTTAGTAAGTTATAGAGCAAGTTGCCATGTTTTTCAATTTTAACTTCTGTTAACTTGATGTAAACAAAATACAATACATTAAGTATAAATAGAGTAATCCAACTAAAAGGCGTTAGTTACCACCTAGATTCTCCTGATAATATTCAAAATATTTATCGGTAACCTGACCGAAAATTAGTCCATTTCATATCGTAATCAAATTTATCGCAGTTTCACCGTCAATTTTGCCATATGTTGCAAAAAATTTCATACTTTTATCTAGGATAGTTATCATACAGGAATGCTGTTATTCCTTACTTACGCCATTCACTGATTTCCAGAACAATCTTTTCATTGTTTACTGTCTTTATAGTGACAAATTTATTCAGTTCATCGGTTTTTTAGACGTTTTCCTTTTTGAGCACTAAATAATTCTATCCGAATTCCATTGTCCTCTACCTTTTCCTATTTCCAATTTCAAAAATGTTAGCAAACGGAAAAGATAAGTATTAAAAAATAATAAATTTGTTGAATAAACAGCCGAGCAATAAATATCAATTACTGATAAACAATAAATAAATAAATTTGACAAATATAAACAATAAATAAATAAATTTGACAAATATAATAGTTCAGTGCTTTCGGATCGTTTTCTTAAAGTGTAAACATAAATTCGCTCCAGTTTTATCTAAAAATTCGCAGATAATAGGACGTATTCGAGTAGGTAAAAAAATCGATGACTGGGGTCGCCAATTTTGAATTTTTAATTTTCATATATTTGCGACTTGAGATATTTTAGTGAAAGTAATTGGTAATTGTTTATATAATTTATCGGTCATAAATGGGAAGGAAGAATAGAAAAAAGCGATTTATTTTGCTGGCATCTCAGTCTTACTTTAGCAGTTGGCTTAAAACTTGAATTAACCGTATCCTTAAATATCCTGGTATTTCTTATTTACTATGGAATACCTACTCTAAAAATGATGAATGGGATTATGATCTTAAATATTAAATTGAATGGATGCACATGAGATAATTGGGTAAAATCGATACAGTAATGAAGATGATTGTTAAGATGACTTCTTTGCATTCCTGAACTTTAAACTGTTTTGCACTTCTTCTTGTTACATCATTGCTTCTATACCACCATCTATCATTTCAAAGTCATTTCCGGAATTTGTTTTCTTCGTTTAAATTCCGCAAATCATAGCTGATTAATAGCAGAAATATGGATCATAAAATTCGTATAACTTCTAAACCTCGAGTATTTCAAGATGTCATCAGGCACCAGATTTAGCCAATTTATTACGCTGATATATGTTCTAGCTATTGTGATCAAAAATTTGAAAGTTATATTTGAATATTGTTTTCCTGTTTGTTTATTTCTAGTATATTTAAACTTATAGAAGTGGAGAAGCGGATGAAGTGACACGTTGCATATCTCCCTTACCAGAAAATATTTTGCGTAAAATACGTATGAACACGTATGAATCAGTTATCAAACCATGTAAGCCACGGTTATTTTGTTTCTATATGGAACAACATGTTGAGCGCTTGATACAGCAATACAAAGAGCGGCAACAACGTGCACGACAGGTTATGGAAAATCTTTTTATCCTAAATATACTAAATTTAGTGTGATGATTTTGACGCGTATGCAAAAATGATATTAGAATAGGAAATCATTTAAATGAATTAGGTCATTGTTAATTAAAATGCATGATTAGTTTTGGATTCTACATTCATACAACAATCTTGACGTACGCATATTTCTTTATTATTTCATGATGACGCAGATATTAAATGATATTTTTAATTAGGCTGTTTTTTGGTCTCTTAACTTTATGCCAATAAAAGCAAAACATTCTTTATTAACTTGATGCTAATCAAAGTATTTTAATTTCATTTTTGGTATTACTATAAAGGATAAGTATAGATGAAAATCAATTTGTCCTTTTCAGCTTGCTAAAGAGATGGAATGTGCGGATTTGCCGGAAAGTATGCGTGAACATATGATGATATTTCTAACACAAAAAGAATCGCGTTATTTACGATTAAAGCGGCAAAAAATGAACAAAGATATGTTTGAAGTAGTGAAACATATTGGTTTCGGTGCATTTGGTCGTGTATCATTAGTTAAAAAGGTCCCGAATTTAATTTAACTTTTTTTTATTCTTGTAATTTCTAAAATATAAATTTTTTTTTTCAAAATGAAGTCATCTGAGTTGAACCTTGTTTGTTTATTACAATAATATTATTAATTTTTATACAATAATATTATTAATTTTTGTTTTATAATTTACATTTTTAGAAAGATACTGGGCAAGTGTATGCGATGAAGAAATTATTGAAAAAAGATGTGATCAAGAAACAACAAGCAGCACATGTGAAAGCTGAACGTGATATTCTTGCGGAAGCTGATAGCAACTGGATTGTCAAACTTTACTACTCATTTCAGGTATCGTTTATTACACACTGTTTCATGTGAATGACTATTCCAAGGCTTTGATGTCATTGAGATGAGATTGTGCGTTAGCTATGATCGTTACTTTCGTTGAACTCAGATGGATATCATGAAGTACTCGTTGGCTTTTTAATGCTTTTCCAGTAATTATCAAGCTCTAGCTCGGTATTATTTACCAGTTAACACAAAACTTCAAATCAGTTTCTGTAAATGTTGGATATGATGAACTAATAATTTATTTTCAGGATGAACAATCTCTATACCTTATTATGGAATATGTTCCGGGTGGTGATATGATGCAACTTCTTATTAACAAGGGGCTGTTCGAAGAAAAGCTTGCTAGGTAATGTTAGCTTTGTCAGGCATTATCCGTAATTTTAACAGTATTTACATTTATGATACTCGAAAGTAATTTCTTTTTCATTTACAAGAGCATAAAAAATTTTGGATTTTTGAAATATTTTTTCAAAAATAACCTGGGAAATTTTAGGTTTTACATCGCTGAGCTAACATGTGCCATCGAGTATGTTCACGGCCTTGGTTTCATTCATCGTGACATTAAGCCGGATAATATACTGATTGATCAGAATGGTCATATCAAGTTGACTGATTTTGGTTTATGCACAGGTTTGCGATGGACGCATGATAAACGCTATTATGGACCTGATAATGATGAGGTTTCTTCATTTTCTTATTTCCTATACTGTTTAATTTTCGAAATAATTGACAAAGATTTATGTTTGAAGCTATCGTTGTGAAGGTAAATTATTTAACAGTCAAAACTCCTATGATATTCCAGTTTGTATTAGTGGTTTTTCCAGCATGATCTGTGTGACTTAATGCTGGATAGTAATAATAAACACCGTAATATGCAATAATAAACACCCTGAAAATGATTCCTAATATCAGACGAAAATCCTGTTTGAGTCATGTTTCATTTTCAAATCATTTCATTTAGTGCTCACCAGGTGTTCAGTGTTAGACACCGGCTTGTGATATTTAGCTATACGTTCCAGTGACGTAATCGTTTCAATATCTATAACAGACATCTCAGTATTCAATTTTTCGAGATTTTCCTGAAGCATTTTTTTTCAGACAATTTTCAACACACATTTGTTTTTAGCGGTGAATAATATGGGGGTTTTATATATCGAATGTAAATGGAACTATTATTTACTTACTTAAAGTGGAATATTTGGCTTCGGCTTGTATTTGTATTTGGCTTGTAAATGAAACTATTATTTACTTACTTATTTACTGGAACTATTATTTACTATTATTTATTGTATTTCTTACAGGTAGAGAACACGGAAACACGGAAAGGATATTTGGCTTCGCATCCAAATTTGTCGGGAATAGGCCGACCAAAAGTGCTAGAAATCAGAAATCATTGCAAGCGGAATCAATCGCATTCATTAGTAGGAACTGACAACTACATGGCACCGGAAGTAATTCGAGGAACTGGTAGGTTTCGTAATAAATCGATACTGTATGGTATGGAATTGAATAATATGAATTCTTCCAAAAATACATTAGTTTTTTTTTTAATTTCAATTGTAGGTCATACTCAACTTTGTGATTGGTGGTCCGTGGGAGTCATTTTATATGAAATGGTTTTCGGTAGACCACCATTTCTTTCAGAAGATCGATATGAGACACAATATAAGGTACGTACTTTCCAGATGAAATGAAGTTCCATCCAACGTAAAGAGAAAGAGAGTTCTTTTTCATGCCTTGTTTTTTTTTCCCAGTTATTAATATTCTTCTATTTACAATTTCATTTATCTCAATAAAAGATCCTAAAATAATTGTAATGTTGAAATCATAGATTGTAAAGTGGCGACAATATCTTGATTTAAACAATCGTACTGGCGAAAAATTATCACTAAAATGTATCGATGTAATCCGGAAATTGTGTTGCGAACAAGAAGATAGACTTGGTTGTAAAAATGGTGCGGAAGATCTTAAAATTCATCCATGGTTTAAGGTTCGTTGGAAAATAGTGTCAACTTCACATGGACTCCTCGAAAGACTTTTTTGTTTTTTTCTTTTTCTTTTTATTTTTTTTAAAAGTTTCTGAGGGATTATTATATCAACGTTTTGCAAGTCTGATTTGTTACATTTCGTAGGGTATCGATTTTTCAACGTTGCGTTCCACACGTGGCGAATACGTTCCACGTGTGGAACATGCTGAAGATACATCGAATTTTGATACATTTGAATTCGATTCCTCCGATCAGTCATTTGACACAGTGGCAAAACGTGCAAGCGCCTCGGCAGCATTCAATCCAGCATTCTATGAATTTACATTTCGTCATTTTTTCGACTTTGATGGACAAGTATCTAATTTTTACCTTCATTTCCAAAATCTGGTATTCCGAAGTACTTACAAACACAAATGATTTATGTAATGTATGGAATTACTGATCATATCCCATCAGCAATACTTTCTTCCTATAATTTTTTAACAATATCTCACTTAATTATAGAATATCAGCATAATATCATTTTCATTGATGGGGAAATGTAATTTATTGCTGTCTATCTACTATTAAATACAATTCGCATTCTTAAACGAATTTCGGTTTCAATAATTCTGTAACTTCTCCAAATTACAATAAAATTTGGTCCTACTCAACAAATTTATTTCTTTGCCATTTTTTATTTATTATTGTATTGATTTCCTACTGTTTTAGCTAATAATTAATCAGTTTAATAATTGATGTTGGATGAAATTTAGTACCATGCGTATTATTTCCAGGGTTGTCCTAGTTTTCGTAAACGTCGTCCATCATTGGCACCTTTGCTGGAAGCTACTGGTGCTAATTTGGCTGCACATCCAGGCATTGGTAATCAAATCAACAAGGCCAAAGATCATAGAAATAATGACAGGACAAATGCTGGTAATATGAGGTTTCGGTCGCCGACAGTAGGAGCACCAATACTACTACCGCCACCAGTTAAAACAACAGCGGCCGTAGGAATCATACAAGGCGACGAATATGAAAGCGATGACTCACTAGTTGTATAGAATTTCAGATGTTGGTTTAAAGATGTAGGAAAAAGTTTCGAAGAGTTTAATTTTTGGATTTTTTTATTCATTGCAATGCTGCAGTACTTTCTTCTGGGTATTTCTCTTTTTCGACTGTAGCAGAAAACTTTTTATTGCTTTGGTGGGCCATGAAATTTGTTTTTCTTTTTTGTTTTTTTCGAGATTGCGTTATTTTCGCTATTCATTTCTTCAGAACATGTCATTTCGATTTCGAAAAAAATGAAGAACGATTGACATGGACTTTTTTGATATGGACCAAGAAACTGACGGGGGCACTGTTTTCAATTTTTTGGGGTTCTAAAAGTTTAGCGTTTTCAAAAATCTCTTGAAGCAATTAGACAGGAATTGAGTTTTTTTGAGAGTTTATTTGAGAATATAAAGCTAACCAAAAGAGATGGAAGCAAGGAAATAGCCATTTACCTCTTGTCATCTGTGCATGGATTCAAAAACATTGGAGGAAATTAAAAAATTTTTCCGATAATGATTTCATAAAGATTAAACAATATATCATGTTAAATCCATATTCATCTTGGGAATTTCATTTTGTATAGGAATCACTCCATGAAGTTACACATTTTTGGGATTACAATTGTCCCAAAAATTATTTATTACTATATTTTTAATGTATGATTAACTTTTATTTTTTAATGACAGAGAAATGGAACTTTTTTCTGTGGTGATACAACCCTGTGATGATCATTCTGATTAATTGAAAATTTAAAATTACAACAAGAAAGTTTAACCCCTTGCCATTCATTTAATTTTAGTTGTGGTTGAATTACTACGCAATGTTGCGAAAATGTCGCCTGTTTGTATGTGTTGTGCGTGTGTATGTGTGCGTGTATGTATGTGTGCATGTATGTATGTGTGTGTCTGTGTGTGTATGTGTATGTCTGTGTATGTGTGTGTGTGTGTATGTGTGTACGAAATTATCATTGGTATTAGTGACAATCAAACATTGTTCTATAATATTTCCTTTTAATTTTTTCCATTTTTATGTTTATAACATTTCATATCGCTTTGTAGCGGTATTTGTTGTGGAAAAAGATGCTCAAAAATAAATCAATTTGTCATTATTCGTAATGTTGCAGTTCTTTTCTTTTTTTCTTTTTTTTTTTTACAACCAATGATCAATTGAAATTCTTCAATTGAAAATGGTGACGTAGAGAAAGGATTGGATGACAAAGTGTTAAGAAATTGGGAAATTTGTTCGAAGAGGGTAAATAGGAAACACATTAAGAGAAGTTTGCAAAATTGAAACTCTAAAAGAGTTCCTTCTTTCTTTTTTTTTTTTTCTGTAAATTCCATGATGTTGAACATCTTCAGATAGTTGAGAATTTGTGACTCATAGACTGTATAGATAAAGTTCGAATCATCATGTAACAATACATTTTGGCTAATGCACATATAAACTAATAATTAATTTGATCGAGCAATAACGTCAAATTTTGATAGCTTTAACTTATAATCAAAGTAAGCACGCGTACAATATTGTTGTTTATTAAGCCAAAAAAATTAAGCAAGCCTAGACGTTACATTCAAAGCCTAGTAAAACATTGCCATAAAATCCAAGTGGTGGAAATGATTGGATAGAGGAGAAAAATGTGTAATTGAAAAATGCCTAGTTAAAAAATACCTAGTTGCTAAAAAAAAAGTGCCCAGATGGGAAAATGCCAATGCCATACAAGGCAAAAGATGCACATAATCCACAAAGTTTACGAAAACTTACGTAAATTACAACAATTTGTAATATTTCCTAATTTTTGGTTTCACCTGCAAAATCTCTCCGCGGTATCATTTAAGCGGTTTTATAATTCTCTCCGCGGTATCATTTAAGCGGTTTTATATTTCTCTCCGCGGTATCATTTAAGCGGTTTTATATTTCTCTCCGCGGTATCATTTAAACGGTTTTATATAACTTGCACTAATTGCTTAAGCATTTCAACAAATCATAATCCTAAACTTTTTAAATATTTGCTGCAACAATCTCATGCTGAATAAAGTTTTGTTAATTTTATGAAAAGTTTGAGGAAGCATTTTTGGTACTTATCAAATTTACTGAAACAATATGTATATCTAAACCGGAAAATTCTAATAACTTATGAACCGGATGCATGAAACAGAAGTATTCCGGTAACATACCATTTATTTCATCTGTTTCTCT